TATTTCAGAAAGGGAGTTGGTCTGGCACGCTCAGGGAATACCCGACTGGTTCCAAGGAGCCTTTGACAGCCCTCAGGAGGCTGAGGGTGGAACGGAGAAGAAAGCCGCCTTCTTCTTCCCCATCCCCCGTGCAGTTGCCGATCATGCTGGGTCCCTCCTCGCGCCTTGGGCCAGGGGCTCTCGGGGAAGGGAGCCAAGACGATGAAGCGCGAGGAGAGGGACTTTTGTGTGGGATGGGAGGCAGCTGGGGAGACTATCGCTCGCCCGTAAATGGGAAGTGCGTCGGAAGCACGACAAGTGACAATTCGGGCGAGAGCGCCCTCCTTTGATGGCGCCCCTGGACCATCCCTTGCCCTTTTGAAGCAGGGCGCCGGACTGAGAGCGGCTGACCTCCAGATTTAGCCCAGGAGCTGTTTTTGAGGCGGAGGTCCGGTCCCAGCCCGCGTGATTGAATAATGAGAGGGAGGAGACGACGGAGACGTATTGTAGTTTACGGCCACCGAGTGAGCAGCCCCAAACATGCCCCCCCCCCCCCCAGCTCTAGGATGACGGTTTAGGACGAGCTACGCAGGTTGAAACCCCGCAAGAAATTAAGCGCGGCTTCGACCAGCTCTTTCTGTTTAATGCAAATCTCGCCGCTGCCTGCCCCCGGGGACGAGCCTGAAAGCCGCCCGCAGGCACCTCTGGCTTCCGTGGGCCGCCCCTGGTCCAGTGGGCAGCTCGCCCCAGGAAGCGCCGGATCGGGGGGAGGGAAAAGAGCTTCCGCGCTGCGTGCGGATGGAGAAGCTAGACGCCTGTGAACAAGCGGGTCTCTTGTGCGTGGGTGCGTGTTTACTCCCCCTCGCCGCCACCCCCCCCCCCCGACTGCGCACACAGCTCGTTCACACGGAGCTGGCACAGCTTCTTCGGCGAGCAGCTCTCCAATTGGCTCCTCGCCCCGGGGGCCAGAAGGGAGGAAAAATAAATCGTCACGGCCAAGGCAGCGGTGATTGGCGCAGCCCTTCGCACATCACTGTCCTTTGGATTCGCCCTGCAGCTGTTGCTGGAACGTCAGTACCTGTGACGTCCTGCCCGCTCCGATTACTGCTCGTCCAGCTGCCGCTGTTGTGTGCAGACCCCCCCCTCCCTCCTGTCTCATTTTCTTTTATCTTCCCGCAGGAAAGGCGACAGCCTCCTCTCTGCCCATACACAAGTCGTCAGGGGGCTCGAGTCCTGATCATGCCTCTCCAATCTTGCGCACCGGTATATAAAGAGGAACTGAGTTTGAGCAGGTGGAGTCTCTTGACAGCCGTGCTTCAGCTTTAGAATTTGATCTGCTGTCAGGTTATTGGGCGGTTGCGCACTGAAGATTAGACTGGAGAAAAAAGAGTGAGTTTTCTGTATATGGTTTCCCCTGATATTATTCATTACATTCCCCGCCCCCAAGAATGTTCACTGGGGGGATCCCTAAAAAGCAGTTAATGGTAGTCGTGTTTTTTTTTGTTGGTTTTTTTTGCTGCCATGTAGTAAAACAGTAATAGAGAAAGATAGTTCTTAAAGCATACAACTTTACGGGCTAGTGTACTTTGTTTACACTGTGAACGGTATGATGTCCTGGAAGGACGTTCTACCCCCACCCCGGGATAGAGAGTGTGTGTGTGTCATTTCACAGAACGTATTGGAGAAAACGAGTGGCTTTACTTTCATGCTGCTAAATCCGCTTATGTGCGTTTTGTGAACTGGAAAGAAAGTGCGACAGAGACGGAGGCGGCCGTTATGTTGATTCCGGAGAATAAAATGCAAAAGAGAAGGGGATATATTGGACCAACTTCTCTTGAGTTTGCACATCTCCGGGTTGCACAGAGCGACTCATCATAGTGAATGGAAGGTTCATGAAAAAGCTACCCTCTTAGCTGCTTTATTCCTACTGCTCCCCACCCCACCCCACCCCACCCCAGCTGCTTCGGTTGGATTCCTGGTCTCTTTATCCTCTGCTTTAACCTACTACTGTGACCTCCCGAAGGCAAACCAGGGAGTGCTGGTTTTGTGTCCAAAGCCGTGTCCTCGAAGCGTAAACCTCTTTCTTGGACATCAGCCTCCATTACTCCATTGGGACCGGCTTCCATTTGGAACCGGCTGCTGCCGAACTACCAGGAGCACCTGTAGCTTAGTAAACTTAAGTCGGACCTTACAGGAGCCAGTAGGGGGAACGTGATTCTATCTGGGTCAGTATCAAGAACACCATATGGACCGGGTGTCCCTCCCAGTTCCCCTAAACCCCGCCTAAATGAATATAAGTGGTTTCAAAAACCAAAAGGAAGCATTTTTGCGTCGGCGATGTAGGTATAGTTGACTCTTACCGAATTTCCCTGGGAGCTAGTCCGGATTCTTATGTATTTTAGTACTAAGGCTTTGCCGCTGGGTCGTAAACATCGCCAGTAGCTTCTGTCGAAGTAGAATGGAACCTTTCTGTCCAGAGGGGCAGGCAGCCCTTCTACACCTGTCTGTGCACCAGCCTTGTGACATTAGCTAGGCGCTTTGACGTCTACACCCTCAACAAGACAGATCTGGTTTTCTAGAAATAGGTGCCGCAGTTGTCCTCGCCCCCCCGCGCCCCCCCCCCCAGAATGGAATCGGCACTTTAGTAGTTGAAATGTCCCAAACCTACTTCAGTCCTTTGGCTAAACTGCATCCCTGATTCCCACCCCACACACACACACACAAATTGCCAAGCACGCACTCAGCAGAGCGTCCGTTTTCTTGCTGGGAGACCGGCTGCACCCTGTGGTACGAAGTATTCGGGGGGAGGGGGGACCTTGGAGTCAAAGATTACCAAGTTCCTTCCAGGAAGTTCCAGCAGGATCCAGAGGGGAAAGAATTTCTGGCACTGGAGGGGGGGGGGAAATCATAGAGGAGGAGGAGGAAGCGGCCGTGGAAAAGCTGTTGCGAGAAGCACAGAAACCAGCTGTTTATGCAAACTAAGGGGGCGTGTCCGGAGAGACGGGGGCGGGGTGTATCCTTATGCAGACGAGAGGGGCGTGGGGAGCAGAGGGCGACTCGGAGCCCCGGAAGAGCCAGAAGCCCCGTATAAAAAAAACACTACAGAGGACGCTGCCGAAACAGAACTAGGAAAAGCTCGGCCGGCAGCGGAGGGCGAAGCGGCGCGACCCCTGCAAGCTGGCGGAGGAAAGGGAGGCCAAGCGGGGAACCGGGCATGCCTACATAAACACGCCCGACTGAGCTGCGCCCGTAACGCCAGGCTGCTGCTCCAGCTGTGCGTAGGTGTCCAGCCTGCTTGCTCTCTTCTCCCTCCCCCCCCCCGCCTTTTCTGCCGTCGGTCAGAAAGGCTCCGCTCTCTCGCTCTCGCACACACGCACGCTCTGCAGGTGATCGAGCGCAGGACTGACCGCTCGGGTGTGGATTGGGGGGGCGGGGAGCTGAAATCTGTTTTACCGACCCTCCCCCTGTCAAATTCCAGGTCAACTTGGGGCAGTTGTGGCTTCACTTTAGGGCACCTTCTGGCCACTCCAAAAGGGTTTGCCGCTTTCCATTGATCCTAAGGCTGGATGAATTGCATGGTAAGGGAGGGGCCCGAGAGACGGGGGCGGCTGCGATCCTCTCGGCGGTTCAGTTGCAAGGGGACTCCTTCGTCGGGGAGAAGCGGCTTGAGGATCCGGTCACTCGCCCTGGGCTGTCGTTGACGGCGCTAATAGGTTTCGCTTTCCTTTCCCCCTTCTTCCCCAGCTAGGCGCGAGGAAAGGGACGGCGCTGCTGGTCTTGGGTCCGCCGTTCCTTGGAAGAAAGCGTTGCCAACGGCGCTGAACCATGGCAGACGAGGAGAACGCCCGGAGCAGCGGCAGCCCTAGCGGGGCCATCGCCGAGCCTTTCCTGGGCTGCTGCGAGAGCAGCCGCTGCAACGTGCTCAGCTGGGAACAAGTGCAGCGCTTGGACCGCATCCTGACCGAAACCATCCCGATCCACGGCCGGGGGAACTTCCCGACACTGGAGATGCAGCCGCGGCAGATTGTCAAGGTGGTGAGGAGCCGCCTGGAAGAGAAAGGCATCGGCGTGCGCGATGTGCGCCTCAACGGCTCGGCGGCCAGCCACGTCTTGCACCAAGACAGCGGCCTGGGCTACAAGGACTTGGACCTCATCTTCTGCGCAGACCTGAAAGGAGAGGCCGAGTTCCAGACCATCAAAGATGTCGTCTTGGATTGCCTCTTGGATTTCTTACCGGAAGGCGTTAACAAAGAGAAGATCACCCCCCTGACTCTGAAGGTAAATCGCATATAGGCTTGGAGGACTCCCGTCTCTTCTTTGCAAAAGGGCTGATACGTAGTCAGGAGTGGAAAGGAGGACGGTGACCTAAAGGAAGATGTTAGATAAGTTGGCTGCTAATTCACTACAGAAATTCAAGGCAGAATTTATGCCTCTAATAATGGACAAGATTAGTCCCCTCCTCCAATCTTCTTTATTGAAGCACTTAATTGGAATGTTCATGCTTGCAAAATCTCATTGAAAAAAATACTAGAATATGTTAACAATTAACTTATTTCTCCTGTGCCTGAGAAAAGGAAGGGGAGATGTGCATTAATTACAGCCCAATGCATAGCTAAGTTAAATTGAAGAATTTGGATTTAAGCCAGTTTAGTTCCACCACTTTTTAATTTGACTAAGCTGCTTTAACAGTGGATACTTTGGTTTAACTGGGCTACAGATGAGCCCGCTAGGGGGAAATGGTGCTCCTCGACCTTCTTCCTTGCTAATAGGATGGGGAAGCTGAATTGACTGTCATTCTAGCCCTAGGCTCCAGTTCCCGAGTTTTATAACCGAGTTAAACCTTAAGGATTCTGAGAACTGGGTGTATAGCCCTTAAGTTCTGCAGATTGTTACTTAAACAGAAATAAATGTGATTTACTTATAAACAGACTTACAGTAAAGAATTTACAGTGCAGTCATAAAGAGTGCTACACCCTTCTAAGTCAAATGAAGTCAATGGGCCTTAGAAAGGTATAACTAAGTATAGGATTTCACTATTATAGTCCAAGTGTTTATAATGCAATCCTATGCAGAGTTACACTAATGGCGTAGTTCAGAGTAACTCTGCGCAGGGTTGCATTGTTTTAATTTTCAGTGGAACCAAATTCGAATTTGGCTGGGCTGGGCAGAATTTGGCTGGGCTGTTGTGTCCCCCTGACTCTGATGAGACAGCATCCACAACATCAAACTGGTCTGTCAATCTGCAGGATATGTTGTGTTGCTTTGGGATGGGAGGAGTTCATAAATCCTCACTTATTTTAAAGTTTCCAGAGCATTCAGAGGAAAACTGCCATTGATTTCAAAGAGAGATGAATAGAAATCTAGGTTGTTATTCTTCCTTGCCTGGGTATGTTTTAGTTTAAATGCATGTCTCCAAAAAGAGTCCTCAGAATTATCTGTATTTTTGTTTGGCAGTGGGCATTCAACTTCAGATCTTTTGAAGAAACGCCTTAATAAAATCCTTGCAGAATATGTCCTTTGTGTAATGCCGGTGCCATAAGCACTCCCTCTTCCTTCAACCCTTTGCAACTGCATGTCTGCAAAACCACATGCTAAATCTGTCTACAGTGTCTCTTTCTTCTGCCTGGGCTCTGTAAAGGGCTCTGCTGCAAGCTAGGCCAGGGTGGAGCCCAGATAAAATGCAAATAACAGCTCCCAAAAGAGGAGGTGCTTTTTATTAGTGTTCCTTATCTGTTCCTTTATTTTGTGTGTGTGTATGTGTGTTTCAAATTGTAGGAAGCCTATGTGCAGAAAATGGTGAAAGTGTGCAATGATTCAGACCGGTGGAGCCTCATCTCCCTCTCCAACAACAGTGGCAAAAATGTGGAGCTGAAATTTGTGGACTCTCTGAGGAGACAATTTGAGTTCAGCGTAGACTCCTTTCAAATCAAGCTAGACTCCCTCCTTCTTTTTTATGAATGTTCTGAGAACCCGATGACTGAAACTTTCCACCCCACTATCATTGGTGAGAGTGTCTATGGGGATTTCGAAGAAGCCTTTGATCACCTTTGCAACAAGATAATTGCTACTCGGAATCCAGAAGAAATCAGGGGAGGTGGCCTGTTTAAGTACTGCAACCTCCTCGTAAGAGGCTTCCGGGCTGCTTCTGAGTCGGAGATTAAGTCGCTCCAGAGATACATGTGCTCCAGGTTTTTCATTGACTTCTCAGACATTGGGGAACAGCAGCGGAAACTGGAGTCCTACTTGCAGAACCACTTTGTAGGGCTGGAGGACCGCAAGTACGACTATCTTATGACTCTTCATGGGGTGGTGAACGAGAGCACGGTGTGCCTGATGGGACATGAGAGGCGGCAGACTTTGAATCTTATCACCATGCTGGCCATCCGTGTTCTAGCTGAGCAAAATATCATCCCAAATGTGGCCAATGTCACTTGCTACTACCAGCCGGCCCCATACGTAGCAGATGGTAACTTCAGCAATTACTATATTGCCCAGGTTCAGCCAATGTTCCCCTGTCAGCAACACACATACTCGACTTGGTTGCCCTGTAATTAACATCTGTTTTAATAGACTTGGTGGGGAAAGTATATATATTTTTTCTGTCAAGCAACTAAAGGGGAAGGATGGCACTCTCCTTTTTTTAAAAATAATGGGGTGGGTTTTGAGCAATGGTGGTCTCCTCTGGCTTTTTAAGCTTGAGGAAAGCTGGTGGTTCTTCTCTGTGATGTGATGGAGCATGGTTTAGGAAAGAACCCAACACTTCATTGGATTCCACCCCAGAGCACAAGAGGCCTGTCATGAAAAGCAACATCTCCCCTTGAAGGAGACCAGGGGGAGTGCTTGATGACAATATGGGTTGGCTTAGCCTGCTCCCATAGCTATGCCATAGTGAAAGTTGGGAAGCCTTTATTTTTTTAATGGGAGCCGTGGGGGCAAAAATAAAAGGGAGAATGTGGGGTGGGATGGGGGAAAGTTTAAAAAAGTATTCAAGACTTAGAAGTTAGAGTAACATGTTGCAGCAAGATGTCCATTGGGACTTGCCACCTTCAGGGCATGGAATCAACAAGTACTCTCCATGGACCCATCCCATAGAATATAGGTTGCTCAGATAGAATTCTTTAGGAGAAACAGCTTGCTGCAGCTGAACAGCAGTAGATTGGTACAGTTATTAAAAAGCGGGGGAGATGACAAATTCCATTGTTTCCAGCTGTGTGCATGCTTCACATTATAAAAAAAATGTGGAAAAGCAAGAAAACCAGCTGTAGCAAGCAACATATGCTTCCGGACCAAAGATTTCACAGATAAGTTATCTAAGCAAAGAGGAAGACTCAGTAGACAATTAAAAAGATATAACTATATTTGTACACAAAAATGCTAAACAAAAGTGCCTGATGCCTTCAGAAAATTTGAAGTGAGAGAAATATAGTTTTGTGGTTTAACCTTGCATTTTTTATCAGGGACACAAGATGAAAAAAAAAAGCTTGTGAATAAATGGTGGAGGAAATGCCTAATTTTTTTTTCCTGGCAAATACGTATATAAAATTTATATTGTTGGTGTGATGTTCTCATAGGTATGTGTGTGTATTTTGTGTGTGTGTGATATATATATATAACTATACAAATATATATATATATATATATTTGTAGCATTATATGTATATACACACAATTTTGAACACGGTCTAGGAAAATGTAGCAATTTTAAAGGAATGTTTTAAATAAGATAAGTGTGTTTTCCAGTCTGCAACAGGATGTCCTAATATAGTGGGCATTTTGCAGAGAGTTATTGGCCGGTACCAGAAAATCTGGATAGACTAACCAGTTGTACATGAGGTGGAATTAAAATGATGCACTTGGTTGCAAGAACAGAGCTTACAATAATTCATTGGAGGAGTGTTGGCAGCATCCTGCCTGGACAAATGTTTCACTAGTTGACCCTTTTTTCTAATATTTTGTATTGTAATATGGTTTTGACACTCGGTAATTCTAGTGCTGCAGACGTTCATGATGTGTATTGAAAGGTGACTCAAGGCAAGTCTTATTTAAACTCCCTTGACAGCTGAAGAGTATTGTCTTAGTTAATGATTTGATTACTAATTATAACTATTTAAAACAATTTACAGAATGCATTGGGCATTCCAGGACCACTAGAAGATAGTAAATGTGAAATGAACCATTATGAAGAGTGTTGCACAGGTGTTTCCAAGTTATATAATTATATTATATATATTTTATGCAACAATTAAACATCTTTGATCTGGTTGTAACACTGCATTTTCCAATTTAGTACTGTATCTTATTTAAAATTAATCATTTTTGTATTGGGACAAACAACTGTTATTTAATTTCCTGTCTTTCAAGAGACCAATGGAAAGTTCAGAGAATTGTTTCCCTGGGAATTTCGTCTCTACTTCTGTACTGATTATTATACAGAAAAGTTTAACCCTTTCAACTTTCCCCAGCTGCTGGTCTTTAAAAGCAAACAAAATCTAACTCCGCCACAAAGGAAAGCAGATGTGCACAGTTGCACTAAAATATTGTGTTTGATTGTGGCCCTTATGCTGTTTTCTTAATACTATGAAGGGAAGTAAAGGTTTAAGATTTTGAAAGGGGGATTGACACTTGCCACCCACTGCTGCCATTTCAAGTGGCTCTGCACAACGTTAAAGCTGCATAAAATATTGAAAGTGAAGGGATTAGTAAGCCGCTAATCAGCCAATAGATTGTCCCTTTATCCCTAATAGCAAAGTATTTTCCCTTTACTTGTTACTGAACCGTTTCTTTTTAAAATTGTCCTTTTATGTCTGAAGGTTAATTTAACAAGATCCCAGTTTATTTGATCATCTTCTGTGTGAATTCAGCAGAAGATTTTAAAAACTTTAAAGTTAACGTCACTGCCATTCACCATCTTGTCCAGGAAGCCCTTGATCATTGCGTTCCATATCTCTGTGGCCCGTTGGCTGGATCCCCCCCCTTCTGTTCGGTGAGTTAAGAAAACAAAATTTCAATTGGCCCATTATTATTGGCAGCATCAAATCAAGAGCAAGATGCGCTTTGTCAGAATCAGAGCTTAGCCTGTAGATGTTCAGAGGGCTTTCTGACAGAAGTTGATCAGAAGACTGGGGAAATAGGATCAGCTGGTAGTGTGGTTTGTCTTTTCTTACCAAAGCTATTTCACTGCAAATAAATGAGTCATCCACTATTCAAGATCTCTGGCAGTGCCAAAAAGAAAATGCTGATAATACAGTATATGTTTTCCTTTGGAGCAGCCTTTTTCCATCTTTTAGAAGGTTGTTATTGTTAGACTGGGGATATAATTTTTGTATGAATGCAGGCTTTTTTTCCTTGTTAAAATTTTAGTTCCATTTTTATGGCTGATAGTAACTGGTAGTCTTACAGTGCATGTTGTAGGGCTCTGATTAAAAGAGTATTTTGATGAATATAGACCAATTTTTCTCCCTAATTTAAGGATTACAGTATTCTTCTTTAACTCAAGCAGTGAAAGTCATGGGGCTCTGCTGTGCTGCCTGGTTGTTTGTCAAAAGGTATCTGGTGTTAGTGATGGGAAGATGCCATGACTCTAGGCCAAAACTAAAATAAGAACACCTTTTTTAAAGCTAGTTAGCTTGTGTGGTTTGTGCACCTAGCCCTTCATAAAGTCTGACAACGCTGCCCCCTCCTTCCCCCTGCTCTGGTATTTTCACAAGAAGAAAATGTTCAACGCTCCTAAGGCCTCACTTTTCCTATTCATTTAGCAAGATTTAAGAAACAAAAAATTCCATTGCAATGCTAACCTAATTTAAATTATTGGCCCAATCATACTCAATGGGTTTGTGTGTCCGTTTGATAAATTCTGAATCAGGGAGGATCTAAGAGTTTTAATATAAACGTAGTGTGATATTAAGAGAAGAAAATCAGATTCTTTAAATTAGAATCTTCAAAGTACAATCCAAGGAATTTTCATGCCTTTTCCTGAACCTCTGTTGCCCATGTCTGCTGTGTGGACTGTAGATCAGCACATATTCTTCTTGCACCTATGTAAATATCACTCCCATTTATTCAAACACTTCATTGTCAGTCCCAGGCTGTCCAGATAAATGGAGTTGTACTGTGTATATATAATCTGCAATATGCAAAAACAAAAAAGATCTTTTCGAAGAAGCAAAAACTAGGAGACAAATTTTCATAATTGTTTTTATTTAAGTGCTTTAAAAGTTATTTGCTGCTACATATTGCACAACGTTTCATGCACAGCTTATAAAATGCCTGTTGTAAAATGCTATATATGCAAATTGTGTTTATATCAAAGGCTCATCAATTCACAGAAAGCTTTAAAATGTTCGTGGAGAGAGAGCAATGTTAAGGCTAGAGAAGAGAAGGAGGGAAATATATATCTAATGACATATTCCACATTTTTTATTTTATTTTTTTCCTGGTTTCTGATTTCTGCTGCAAGAAAGAAAATCCCATGTACAGTTCTGCTGTTTGCTTTCTACGCAAGCCATTATTAAATATCCAAAAAGGCCTACAGACTTCAAGATGGTTTGGATGCAGCAGGGCAAACCTTTGCAGCCCATGAGCAGCTATGCTGATTTTTGTTCTCCTTCAGAATTCCATACAACTGTTCTCTTCTGCAAGACATCCTGTTGCGGCAGATGCTCCACGGACTGCTCTCTTAGAACTTTTTGGCTCTAGGTTCTGTTGGAGGCTGAAACAAAGAGCTGATGGAAAACAGACACTTTTTAACAATCGAAAGCGTTTGCTTCAGTGCTAGAGGGAACAGATTGTGAATTTTGTTTACAGCATCCAATATTTGGATTTTTTGTAAATAAAAATGATGTTATTTTTTCTATTCTTTTTGTCTGGTCTTTTCAGTGTCTATAAGAGTCTGGACCTGCTTGTGATGATTACTGGCTAACTTATATTAGAAAACAAAATACATAGGCAGCATATTTCTGAGAGGCGGCCTTTTGACTGGAGTAGAGTAAATCTTTAAAGTCTAGCCAGCCAATTAGTGACCAAGGGACCCAGACACCTAGCTCCAGAATGCTTTGCTGGGAATATGAACATTGTAAATGGTATAAGTGTCCAAGAGTCATTGGGCCGCAAGTCCTGGTGAAACTGGGTCACACATTTTGTTTACTCATATTTGGTGTTGTTGCTGCTGCAGTAATAGTTACTTAAAACTTAGTGCCCTGTAGTGCCCTGTAAGGTGCACTTAGTGCCCTGTAAGGTGCACTTAGTGCCCTGTAAGCCGCCCTGAGCCTTCGGGGTAGGGCGGGGTAGAAATTCAAATATAAATAAATAAAACCAGTTTAATGCTAGTCTTTAAACTAATTTATGCTAGTCTTCATTTCTGTAGTGCAGAAATGCAGTGCAGCTAGAACCCCCCCCCCCGAAATTATAACATTGTTTCATAAAAACAAGTAGATTATTTTTTTAAAAAAATCTTACGAGTTCCTCCTGGACAGTTGTCTATGCCAGTAATGTCTAATCTATGCATTTAATTTGGGATCTGAAGTCCTCAGAAACTGGTAGACATGTTGGATCTACTAACAAGAATGTCCCTCATTGGGATTTTATCATGTGGTTGGGAAAGTGGTCATCTGAATCAGCCAACCAATCATAAGAGCTGCAGTACTTAACAGATACAAATGAAAAGAAATCTGAAAATGTATTTGTTTTATAAATACAATTTTGAATTTGTAGGCATTTTTCTGTAATGTTTTAGGGCTCTGTGACAGATTTTTCTTCACAAAATTGTCTAGATGCTAGTTAGATGTACAAGG